CCCAGTATGCCTTGTCGATCAGACAAGAGCTCGCCGCGATGCGGCAAGGGTTAAGGAGCGAGGGACGATACTCGGGTCACGAGAGGAACCGTCCGCCACCCCCGGAGCATCAACAGCCGCACCAACGCCCCAGTTCTCGGCGTCGTACCGAGGTAAGACAGGGGATGTGCTTTTACCACTGGCGGTGGGGGAATAAGGCCCATCGTTGCATCCCGCCTTGCACCTGGAATGGCGCACCGGGAAACGACTTGGGCAGTCGTTAATGACGGCGAATGACGCCTGCCCGACGCTACGCCGTCTGTTCGTGACGGACTTTGTGTCGAAAACGCAATTTTTGGTCGACACAGGAGCCGACCTTTGTGTTTTCCCGCGGTCAATGTCTCGCGGTGCCCGGCAGAAATCGTCGTACGTGTTGTTCGCGGCGAACGGGAGTGAGATCTCGACGTACGGGGCCGTCACGCTGACGTTAGATTTAGGTTTACGTCGGGCGTTCACCTGGAGATTTGTTGTGGCCGAGGTTTCCAAACCGATAATCGGCGTGGACTTTTTATATTATTATGGACTTCTTGTAGATATTAGGAACCGTAGATTAATAGACAATGTGACGTCGCTGTCGGTGCCGGGACAGCCGGCAGGTGAAAGTGCGTCGAACATTCCGCGCGTAAAGACAATAACCGGTAGTTCGGTGTACGTGGAGTTGCTGCAGAAATTCCCGGAAATCACCAAACCGATGGGGATTCCGGCTGCAGCGAAGCACTCTACGGTGCATTATATCAAAACAACGGCAGGTCAACCGGTCACCTGCAGGCCACGCCGTTTGGCGCCGGATCGGCTGAAGGCAGCGAGAAGGGAGTTCGACGCGATGCTACAGCTCGGGGTTGCCCGTCCGTCGGAAAGTAGCTGGTCATCCCCGCTGCACGTGGTGCCGAAGAAGGAACCGGGTGAGTGGCGACCGTGTGGTGATTACCGGGCCCTGAACGCGAGGACATTGCCGGACAGGTACCCGGTAAAAAACATTCAGGACTTTGCGCAGTCGCTGCATGGTAAGCGTGTATTCACTACCATAGATTTAGTGCGCGCGTATAATCAAATACCGGTAGCCACCGAAGATGTGCACAAAACGGCCGTGACTACCCCGTTCGGGATGTTCGAGTTTCCGGCCATGCCCTTCGGATTGCGTAACGCGGCACAGACGTTTCAAAGGTTCATCGACGAGGTGCTTCGCGGTTTAGATTTCGCGTACGCGTACATCGATGATATTCTCGTGGCGTCGCAATCCGAGGAGGAGCACGTTGAACATTTAAAAACATTATTTAATAGGCTTAAGGACTACGGCATCGTAGTGAATTCCGGGAAGTGCGCGTTCGGTAAACCGCAGGTACATTTTCTCGGTTACGAAGTGTCGGAAAAGGGTTCGCGACCGCTAGACTATAAGGTGCGCGCGATAGCGGAATATCCGCAACCCGTGACGGTAAAACAATTGCGGCAGTTCCTAGGTATGGTGAACTTTTACCGACGGTTCATACCTAGGGCTGCGCAGGTACAAGCGCCGTTAAATGACCTGCTAAAGGACAATGTAAAGGGTCGAGCGCCTGTTACTTGGACGCCGGTGTCGATAGCCGCGTTCGAGGCCTCGAAACGGGCTTTAGCGGAGGCCGCGTTATTGGCGCACCCGCGTAGCGATGCCCCCCTCGCGCTCACCTGCGACGCGTCCGATTTCTCCGTCGGCGCGGTACTCCAACAGCGTACGGACAGCGGCTGGGAGCCATTGGCGTTCTTCTCCAAGAAGCTGACCGACGCCGAAGGGAAGTATGGAGCATACGACCGGGAACTGCTGGCGATCTACCTGGGCATCAAACACTTCAGGCACATGGTTGAGGGTCGGGTGTTTGCTATTTACACCGACCATAAGCCGATCACGTTTGCGTTTCGGCAAAAGCCTGAGAAGTGTACGCCCAGGCAGTTCCGGTATCTGGACTTCATTGGGCAGTTTTCCACCGACATCCAACATCTGGCCGGTAAGGACAACGTTGTGGCGGACGCCCTGTCCAGGATTGAGGAGGTCAACGGACTCCTCGACTACGATGACCTCGGAAGGGCCCAGGAATCCGACGAGGAGCTTCAACGGTACCTGCGTGGAGAAATCGGGAGCGCGTTACGGTTGAAGCGAGTGGGGGTTCCGGGTACGCACCGTTTGGTGTATTGCGACGTGTCGACCGGGTCGGTAAGACCGTTTTTGACAAAGTCGTTCCGTCGGGCGGCTTTCGACACGTTACATAGACTTGCCCATCCGGGGATTAAAGCGTCGGTTAGAATAGTGACCGAACGTTTTGTGTGGCCGTCGGTCAAGGCCGATTGTAAAAAGTGGGCGCGCGAGTGCGTCGAGTGTCAGCGGTCGAAGGTGACGCGACACGTGCATTCGCCGCTCGGAACGTTTGCGCCCTCGGGACGATTTGAGCACATTCACATTGATATTGTGGTGTTGCCCGTTTCCGAGGGATACAGATATTGCCTGACCTGCGTCGACCGATTTACGCGGTGGCCGGAAGCGTTCCCGTTGAGGGATCAGGAGGCACCGACGGTAGCGCGGGCGTTTTACGAGGGATGGATTACCCGGTTCGGGACCCCTCTTCGCGTTACGACGGACCAGGGCAGGCAATTCGAGTCGCACCTGTTCAGACACTTAGGTGAGCTGACTGGGACATCGCATCTCAGGACGACGGCGTACCATCCGGCGGCCAATGGCATGGTGGAGCGTCTGCACCGCCAGATGAAGGCAGCCATCCGCTGTCATCAGGAGGTGCAGTGGACAAAGGTGCTTCCCACCATACTGCTGGGCATCCGCGCAGCCTGGAGGGAAGACGTAAAGGCGACGGCAGCGGAGCTTGTTTACGGCGAAACGCTGCGTTTGCCTGGAGAATTTGTATCGCCGCGACCAGCCGCGACAGATCCGGACGTGGCTGATTTCGCGAAGGAGCTGCGCGTGCAGTTTCGCGAGTTAGCGCCAGCTCCGGTTACTCGCCATGGGGCGAGAAAAACATTTGTGTTCAAGGACTTGGGGGTGGCTGAGCAGGTATTCGTACGGAACGATAAGGTCCGGAGCCTGCTGCAGCCACCTTACGATGGACCATATACGGTGGTTAGCCGTGGTCCAAAGACATTCGTCGTTAATATTAAAAATAAGCCGGTGACTATCACCGTTGATAGGTTAAAGCCGGCGTATACAATGTCTGATGCGACGGAAGGGGACACGACCCCATCTCCGCAGACGACCCAAGCGGCCAGTCCGGCGCCGCAGCAAAATCCGCGAGTTACGCGTTCCGGGAGACGAGTTCGGTTCCCGGATCGATTGCAGTTATGCAGAATCAAATATTTTTAATAATGTTAAGAAAGGTATTTTGTAAATATGTGCCGCACGTAGGGTAACGCGTAGATATAGGGTAATTATTAGCGGAATGGATGGATGAGTGATTTTTTATTGTATTGTATGAGTATGGATATGTATGGACAAATGTGTTATATAGTATGGGTGCAAATTATTTAGGTGTACTGTATATATTGTGTTTTTTGTCTGTATGTTTGGTTGACTGTATGGGATATTTGTTTCGTGATTGGTCAATCACTGGCAGGGGGGTGATGTAGCGGCCATTGTATAGCCACTACGCCCTTGCCAGAGTATGAATGGGAATGGAATGTAAGGATAGTTTTAAGCTTTCTATTTTTCCATTTTCCCAGGGTCTCGTGCGAGCCTGGTCGTCCTGTTAAACACTTGGCGACCAGAGCCGTGCGAGGCGTCTGTTTTCCCTCAAGGTTTCGCCTGGGCCTCGGACCACCCTGATCCGGGCCCGGCGAGCCTCTTGACTTTTATGACTCGCTTTCGCTAAACTTTTCCTATACTGAGTATTTTCCAGTTTCGTTTTTCCGTCTTTCTGTCCTGTCTCTTTTTCTCTACCTTTGCTATTAGGGTAAGAAATTGTATATATTCAGGGGACGTGAGAAGAAAGACCCCCAGTCTATTTTAGACCCGAGTCTGGCTAAGACGTCGCGCGTTTGCGAAGCCAGTTATAGTGTCGATTTTACCTACGTGTGGCTACACCCCCGACACCCGCGAAATAAACACTTTAATAATTGTTGGGGTAGATTGAGGTTTGTCACTTGAACCTCCAGCCCCCTCAGTATCATTCATGTCACGTCCGATGAGTTTGAGGTGTTCCACGTCGAGACTCTGTCCAGTTCAGGCTCTCACCTTTTGGATTCCTTGTGTCCATGATAGTTTCTACCCGTCTCCACGAGCAGATCTAATTAGATCGATCGTTGTCTTGTACTTCGCTACCCTAGTGTAAAATTTTCGAAATATTTCTAAGGAATTTTATGCAAGACTTTAAAAATGACACAATGGCTTCGAGAGTCTCAATTGGAATCTGAAGCAAGAAATTTACTCATCACTGTTTTGGATTTGAAATCTTTGTACCGTTTAGAATTTGCTAGTTCTGGTACATAGTAGGGTATTTTGTTTGCGATACGGTAACACTGGACATGACGAAGAGTTACTATTAGGACACTATGCCCAAGGTGTTTACGTTGGTACAATGGGGTTGAATGATTTAACGGAATAGAGCTGTTTACCCTCACAGAGTTCGTGGTACCAATTACATAGCAAGCAATCAGTAATTGGCTGCAGAAATGATTGTGGAAACAATATTGGTAGTAATATACTTATAAATGTTCGAACTACGAAGTTTCAATTTAAAATCTTTTTAACCATAAAGGACTAAAGTGAAGGGAACTGTCTCCCTTCGAAACTAATAAAAAATGATCGATAAGCACCACTCCCTGATCTCGATGAAATTTTGAGCCCGGAATAGGAAAACAGACATGGCTGAAATTAGTTTAGAAATTAAATTTGTTATATTTTGATTGCTCGAATTTATTCTAAAAAATTATATTTCCATTCTGCTTTTATTATAAGTAATCGTAACAATGATTCGTTTTTTTTCAAGGATGCCGACTTCTACTTCATGCGTAGGGTGTTCGAGTAAATCTAGGTAAGGATTATTTATTCGATTTTTACTTTTTGATTACGTATAAGACAATTTTATAACGTGATACGTGATAATCGATTTTAAATTGATCCATTGGGCTGAGATTTCCTGTGCAGATTCATTGCTAGAACTCGTTTGTTAACGTGTGAAGTTTTGAGTGACCTATTGACGCTCATCTTTTTAATTTCCTATTTTTCGTTCGATTTCTGTTCATGTCGACAATGAGTTCAATGTGATTTCTTTACCGCTGTAGCTGACTTAGGTATCGTAGCCCATGAATGCTAATTTCGAAAGAAGTTTACAATTTTTTATGTGACTAATTTATATGAAACTTGTTTTTGCGAGCGGTCGCTATTGCAATGTTCGTTAGACCCGCGGTCGCATAAACATCGAAAAGTTTCTGAACAAGCGCACCCACCCGCCGGTGCCTCTGACCTTCATCGTAGACGTTATTTGTTGCACAGCGTGGGTGGGTGGCGTTGTTCCAACAGCGGTGCCTTTTCGAGATTCAAAATTTTACGAGCGACATAAAAATCCACGGCGCACGAAACCGACACCGAAACTGTAGCCGTGCTCTTTCGTTCCAGTATATTTAGCTTCGTTTTTTTCGGCCGGGGTATCGAACGACGACATCCGGAAATATCGAAACTCGCCGACAAGCTGAAATATTCGAAAATTATTGCGCGTTAACGCGTACGCCGGCGATTTTCCTAGAAATTTAACGAAACGAGTGAAATAAAAAATTAAACGGAGACGTACGCAATACTTTTCTACGTATTGGTTTAACACCATGTTGGGCGTCGTTCGGGTGACGGGTTGTAAGGCCGTCGACAACTAGGTGTTTGGGCTTCGGTGAGTCGACCAGGTTTATGACACAGAACCGCGTTTGTAAAGTTTCGTCAAGGCCAGCATGGGCAAAAAATATCGTAGAATTTCGCTAAGCAAAGGGACAAAGTGTCATAAACTTGGTTGGCGAAAGCAGTCTCGAGTGGTTGCAGCCCCAAGAGACTGTCGGATGGCCCACACGTGTGCAGCTCTGCGCCTTGGGCCTCCCTTGTTACGTCGGCATCGCTGCACCCCCGCCACAAGTAGTCAGCAGTATAAAAACGGCGGCATACCGTGATTTCGTCCTTACCATTTTCAACTATGAGATAGTGCGCTAGCCTTCCATAGACTGTGTATAATCGCGATCACGTGTATATTTTTGTTGAGTTTTAAATATAATACAACCACAATCAGTCTTGTTAGTTCCCTGAAAAAGGGGTGGTCCTTCAAATCTTAGTTTAGTCGGCACACCACGTGCAATCTTTCAACATCCGAATCGATATCCATTCGACTTCGGATTAAACACTAGGGTGGTCCCTATTCTTCGACTTTCGATTACTTTTTGACGTACCCTCCAAAATTGTGACATTTGGTGAAAAAAGTTCTGTGCAAAACTTCAGCAAGATTAGACAACAGGAACACGTGCCGCATTTAAATTAGAGTTTTGTGCCATCTTATACCAAAGTTGTCGACTGATTTTTTTTAGTGAAATTATAATTCCTTATGTCTAAAACAATAACATGATTGTGGTTTTCATAGTTATATTTAGATGCGTTACAAAAATTGCAGATTTTCGCCCTGAGATGCAACAAGCTGTTTTATTTGAAGGAAACTATTACTTGAGCGAACCAGTAGTTGCATGAATATGTTAATTGAAACATCAATTACGTAGAAAATTATAAAAATTAAAAGAAATCGAAATAAAAATACGATAGGTTACTATTGGGAAACAAAAAATAAATAAGACATCATTGTTTTCTTTATCAGAGAAGATATTTGTTATAATGTACAGGGTGTTCGGCCACCCCTGGGAAAAATTTTAATGGGAGATGCTAGAGGCCAAAATAAATCGAAAATCAAGAATATCAATTTCTTGACTGACGCTCCCTTAAAAAGTTATTCAAAAATTAAATTAAAAAATTTCAAATCATTCTGAAAAAATTATTTTTCGTTGCGGGGCTCAATTACAATAATTTTTGGTGAATACACATATCCCTAAAATCTTACTCACTTTCGAAAAACAACTACAAGTACTGAAATTTTTAAACGAAATTAAAAAATTTCAAATCATACTAAAAAAATTATTTTCATTACACATACCCTCGAAATCCTATGCATTTTCGAGAAAAAAATTCTTTACTGAAAATCTAATGTGAGGCCAGAAATGCTTCCCTCAAATTTCATGCGAATATTTAAAACTGGTCCAAGTTTCAAACGGCCAAAACTCCTCCAATAGTAAAGTTATCTCATTTAATTTTTTTTCTGAAACAGAGCCCATGGGTACCTACAAAAAAGTATTGGACCACTTTTCTGTAGAGCGTCAAACAAATTTATTAAAAATGAAAAACAAATTTTTAATTTTAAAATTTAAAAAAAAAAAAATTTTTTTTTTTTATTTGGGTGCGGGAGTCAATTACAATCATTTTTGGTCATTAGATATACCCTCGAAATCCTACCCACTTTCGAGAAAAAAATTCGAGAGGGTGTGAAATTTTTCGATAAAATTAAAAAATTTCAAATCATTCTGGAAAAATTATTTTCGGTTGTGGGTGTCAATTACAATAATTTTTGGTGAATAGACCTGCCCCCGAAATCCTTCCCACTTTTTAGAAAAAAATTCCGTACGTGCGGAACTTTAAACGTTAATAGCTTTTTAACGAAGCCTCCATCAACAAATTAGTATTCTTGATTTTCGTCTTATTTTGGCCTCTAGAATCTCCTATTAAAATTTTTTCCAGGGGTGCTCGAACACCCTGTAGATGGTAAACGTTGATAATGTGGTTTAAGTATGCAACAAAATTTTATTTAACTTTTTGTTTATTAAATAAAATAAAGAAGCTGTTTATGTAATTTTTGTGTATAAAATGTAATTTTGTATGAGATTTATGTTAAAGATTTTTCAGAATTTCTAAAAATGAGGAATATTAGATTACAAATAAACAATTAAACATTTTTTAAATAGCACGATATATTTCATAATTGGTTCAATGGTAGGTGCAATTAAAGAATAATATTGAATAAAAGTTTAGGCATGATATTTCTGATATTTAAATAGGTAAACCCATTTCTAATTTTCAATTACAATAAAGTCCTTCATGATATTCTTTTTTGATGTTCAATATACACATATAATAGACACATATTAATGAAATTAACTTTCATATTATACTGTTCACCTCCATGTATAGTGCTTCAATGGTAGATGCAATTAAAGAATAATATTGAATACTAATTTAAGCATGATATTTGTGATATTTAAATAGGTAAACCTATTTCTAATTTTTGATTAACATAAAACCCCTCATGATATTTTTGTTGATATTCAATATACACATATAATAAACACATATTAATGAAATTAGCTTCCATATTATCCTGTTACAAATTTCTTATTTTTATTTTTGTAGATTGATTCTAGATTTTTCTCAGTATTATTTTCAATAATCAAGGTTCTATTGTATTATAAAATTTAAATAATTAAATGTCTCCCCTCGTTGGCGATTCAACGTACAACGACTCCGATATTAGGCGCGTTCGATCGCGTTGAAAGAAAAATGATTTAATTGCAAGGTGAAATTTACAAAGGGAATATGAATCTTCATTTAAATACCATTCGTTTGCAGGATACGAGCCACAACAACGCGCGGCAAATTGTTTTAGCGATAGGAATATTTAAACAGATCGAAGGGGAGAATACCAAACGTGGTTTTAAAAGAATCGGCGCATCGATAAAAACTCGTGAAAAATACCACGCATTCGAGCCATCGATATTTCAGAGCCTTTGTTTATGTATCATACTTCATAACTCCTAATGTAATATTCATATGAGTCGATATAGATAAGCATCGAGAATATCCAATATTGAAATGTTACTAACACTTTGTATGCAGGGGTTTATTCGAACGAAAGGGCGCCAGACTGGGGATTTAAACATTTTCAGCTCGATTTTGACGTGTTACGAACCATGCATTTGGCGTTATATGTATTGAAAGTGAAGAAGAAGTTCGTGAAAAGAAAGACACGAAAAACAGATGACTGGTTTTATGCAATGCATGAGAGAAAATATTGAAAAAGAAACGATTGGAGATTTATTTCTTGTAAATAGTAGCACATACAGTGTTGAGTGAAATGTTTTTATTGCAATGTATACACCAATGTAAAAAATTAATAAATATATCAGTTTATTTAACGTATTATATTTGCAATATGAAAGAATATACACATTGTAATGAATAAATAAAAAAATATGGTTCAAATTATGATGCCGTTGATTGGATTTATTTCTTGTAAATAATGGCATACACAGTGTTGAGCGAAATGTTTTTATTGCAATGCATGCATCAATGTAAAAAATTAATAAATGTATCAGTTTACTTACGTATTATATTTAATATATAAAAGAATATACAAATTACAATTAACAAATAAATAAACATTGTGCAAATTAGGATACTGGTGATCGAAATGCTGGAAATTACGATGGGATTTCTTTCGTTGAAAAGAAGTAATGAGTCGAACGCGGTAAAGTGGTTTCACTGCTCTATAAAAGCAACGAAACTGAAAATTTCAAAGTCGATTGCGACTGAAGACGAAACAATGGCCCTTTGACGACGAATATTACGCTAAACCACTGCGAAAACTGCGTCCATTCATCAAAGAAAAAAGTCGAGGCAATCTCGCTGAAGGCTCGCGATTCTTTCGCGATAATGCACCAGTTCGCGGCTCTTGTTGCAAAAGCTAAAAATGTGCTTTTATCGAATCGACTCGACCACCTTATAGCCCAGATTTATATTCGAGCAATTGTAATTTATTCGAAAATTACAGTCGATTATTTGGAAATCTTAAATGAGTACCTATGAGTATTATTAGTCACTAATAAGATCATTATTATTATTTTGATCAATAATATTATCAATAATTATCAATAATCAGTCCATTATGCTCAACTAGAAAATATATGTATATAGTTTTTTTTACTAATACAAGAGTGTTAATTTCGTGTTATAAAAAATGTATTAAAACAGAGGGAAACTACGAAGAAAAATTGTAAAGTTTTATCTAACGTGTAAAAGATTGTTATATTGTAAGTTTATAGAATTTCTTCAAATGAAACGTAAAAATGTATTTTCAGAATTTCACGAAACCCAACCTATGACCAGAAGATATTTAAACAACACGAATTTAATTTGATTTGTTCTTTTGTTGATGGGAATTCTGTGTAGGAAGTATAATACTTGAAAATAATTTACCGTTCTCTTTTATTTGAAAATAATTTAGTATTCTGTTTTTAAGTTCAGTAGCACCAAACTCTGAAGTGTACAAAATGAATCATAAGAGAAGAGGACTCGCGATAATCTTCAACCACGTCAACTTCACGAAAATGACGAAAAGAACGGGCTCGGACAAGGACTGCGCGAACCTCGAAGAAGCATTGAATCGCCTTGGTTTCAACGTTAAAACGTACCCAGACCCGTCTATTAAACAAATATCAGCAATTTTAAAACAGGGTAAGTATGTTAGTAATATGTTAGTAATATTAATTGGTGTTTGTTACCAACTATTTTGCACTTCAAAAGTTTGAAATATATGCAACAACAACGACATTTGTCTTAAATAAAATAATCGTTATTCTGAGACTAATAATTCCATAATTTAAATTCATTTTCAAATTTGATCAAAATTAAGTATCTTCGACCACAATACTTAATTAGAAATAAATTTTTCCTATAATATAAAACCATTGAGTAATAATTTTGTATATCATGTAAAATAGCGTAAATGTAAGTAACAAAAATGAAATTGATATAGACTATGTACAAGGTGTAAAAAAATGTTCGTCTTAATGATACGAATTTTTTAATCGATGCACAAGGCGGTATTATTTTGTCGACATTTTTATTCGATCCAGTAGGTGTACAACTCACGTGGCGAGCGAAGCAATTTCAAATACAATGCACGTTTTGTACACACGCATCGACTGTTTTTAATCATTCCTCGGCGCCGCTCGTTAAATAACGTGTAGTTCGTGGCAACGAACAGAGATGGATAAATACGGGCAATAATAATGCATTTTGGCCGTTTCAGCGTAACGAGTCGCGTTTCCATTATTTCGGTAACCTTGCTTTTATACAATTCGTGTCTGCTTTCCATGCCTTGGTTGATGAATGAAAGTATTATTAAATGACACACGTTTCACGGAATACTGTTCACTTCGAGTTGCCTAATTGAAGGTATACGAAACAACCGTCAAATAATTGACACAACATTTAAAGAAGTGGAAACGAGTAATATATTGATCCAGACAATATGTCGACCAATGTATACAAAATAAATTAGTCCTGTCTTATCAGTTATATGTTACTCGAATAAAATTTTACCCCTCTTTGGTTAGAAAGATCAACAATAAATAATTAGCGTGTAACAAAATTGGAAACGTTAGTGCTCGCCTACAAGCCAGCTGTTCAATATTTCAACGTTACGATTGAATTTGAAAATTAGAGGAAGGGCTTACGTTGCTTGCTACGAGAAGACATTTTCTTCTGTGAATAATTCGTTTTCAGAAGATAATTACTATTAATGACTCTCTGTTCGTGGAATTTAATGAGATTGAAGAACCTTCCTTCGCGAACAACTGTAATACTTCAATTAAATGTTATAAACTGTTACAGACTCAGAGATCCTTGGTGACTTCACAGGACTTTGTGTATTTAACTATGTGAACTGTTGGTCCTGATAGAAACATAGATAAGAATGGTTCTTTCAGATAAAACCACAAAACATCCATCTATAATTTATATTCAGTCGAAGTTGGTATCTAGATGGCCAATATTTGTTAGTTCATAGATTCATTTAATAATACATAGAATTTTACAAATTAATTGACAAAATGTCATGTAATTTCAGTAATTTCTTACAACCAAATTGACGGAATCCTTTAGCTCCTGATTTTTCCATCTGCAATAATTTTTGAGAAATGTGATTGAACAGATTATTCACAACTTTGAGGGAAGTTTTCACATGCTGAATATAAATATGATACAAAAAGATAGGGGTGCAATATTTTTCAATGCAATGCTCATTTACGTGTGCAAAGTTTTATAAAAAATCAATATGTTTTGGTCGAGTAGTATTTTTTACTAGAGGCACGAAGTTGGAAAAAGTTTGGAAAGCCCTGATCTAGAATGCTATTTAGGACACGCCAAGAGAACTTGCTATAAACATATGGCCTGCTCTAAAAGGAACCGTTCGTGAATTGCATTCGAAATTCGTAGATTGTAAGGAAGCTAAGAATCGAGGACACACATACTCTTTGGAATGAAAGCACCGAGTTTGTGGAGCAAAACTACCCTCCGAATGTTTCAACCCTCCGTCGCTCTCCACGAAACGACTGGCGCCGAACAAAACATCTTGGATGGAAGTAATTTACTGTTTTCACCGTCGAATTAAAGAGTCACCGAAATGACTTTCCTGTTTCGAGGGTTTCCTTTAATTCGATGTTTTATTTTAAGGGTGCATTTTCCAAATTAGAGGAATTTACTCGATCTGTATTTCTGCAACGAAATATCAAGTTTCGATATAAGGACGAATTTACACATATCAGTGTATCAAACAATGGTAACCTTCGCTACGAATATCATTATTTTGATTCATAAACATTGAATTCCATTATTCAAGTGTAATTGCATCATAAATAATTACGTTTTACGCGGAACCAAAGCGGGACTTGATAAATTCATCTTGCTATCTATATTATTAATTGTTTTCTCGTTAAAACTTAACTAAAACTCTCGTTTAAATTGTGAGTCCTCACGTGCAGGGAAGCTTATACACGATTAAAAATTTGTAAATATTAAAATGCAAATAAAAAAGCTTATTTTTAACGAAATCGTTCTCAAATTCATTTGGGACAACCATATCTTATGAAACAAATTCAAATGAATGGAAGAAATTATTTTTAAAGACTTTAATTCAAAAAAAACCTCCCCTACTATTTTTACATACCGTTTTTTCTTTTCCCTAATTTTAAATAGACTAACAACGTCTATTAAAAATAGTCAAACTTTACACGCGTGCAGTTCCGAAACTACGAATGTTTCTTCATAATTGAGCCACTGTTAGAAGCTATAAAGCTTCTAGAGGCAAAAGCTTCTTCTTTGAAATGGTTTTTGGTTTATATCGATTCGAAATGAAGGGGTAATTTTTTAAATTCCATTGTCCGCCTTACAAAAGTCTATTAAGACGTATAAAAACACTAAAACATTAAACACATACAGCTCTGAAGCTACTAGTGCTTTGTCCATAATTGAGCTACCGTTAGAAGCAGTAAAGCATCCTCTTTGAAATGGTTTTTGGTTTATGTCGATTCGACTTTCCGTTTTGGAGATATCGTAATTTAAACAAAGGGGTAATTTTTTAATTTCCACTACGTTTGGGCCTTCTCTCGCATGTGCAAGTGCATCGCGACCATGAATTCACTACGAATGCATAGCATTTCTGAGAATTTATTGCACTTCTCGGAATTCTGCGACCTTCCCGAGGTCATTAGTGTTAATGCTTCGAAACCTCATATCTCTGGAACTAACCACGCGATCGACTTGAATGAACCCTCATTTTAAAGGGCTTTTCACCCTCTACCTGATGAAAATATCAACTATTATTGTTTATGCATTTGTTTTCATTTTGTAACAGTTTGAAGAACTATAAAAATCCTCGTTATAAGTGAAATAGTGGCGTATTAGAGGAGTGACCTAGATTTTTAAGAAGGTCAATGACCTCGCGACGTATACAATAAAAAGTAAACAAACGCTTCGAAGTCTTATATCTCCGGAACTAATTACGCTATCGACTTGAACGAACACTCATTTTAAAGGGCTCTTCATCCTCTAACTGATGAACATAACAATTATAATTATCTATGCTGTCTTCTATGTTTATTTCGAAATTTGCTTTGACTCTGTGCACCCAAAGAAGTATCAATAATTAATGTTAATCATGCGATCGGTGTACGATAAAACTGGATTATAGATTGTTTATTTAATTGAAAATTAATTTAAATTAGTATACAGGATGTTTATGTAATTACTGGCCAGCATTTTTTCGTAAATAATGGTTTACTCTGGAACTATCTTACGAATAAACTTCAAACCACATCATTTTATACACATAATACAAACATTGAGAGTACGTTGCCCTGTAAAAAAGAAAAAGAGAATCATTTGACCGGTCATGATAGCTGCACACCAAGCGTCGGTAGGTTTAGTGTTAAATGAAAAGCGGGTGGCACGATTGTTACGCAACCCACCCGATGACTTAGGAGAATACGATTTACGAGCTTCGCGCAACGTAAGAACATCTTTGTCCGTCGGCGACAAAGGCTTTTGATAAATGCACGTCGGACAGTGTCGCGACGGCGGCTATTGTGTCAATATTTTGCATGGACGAATATTAGAGAGAAAAATTCAAACAAAATGGAGGAACGCGGAGTTTCTGGATGACGTCCACGGTTCCGTTTATGAAATGTTTACCGACGATTCGCCGGCCTCGAGTTCCAAGACTCCGTTTATTCTAGCATGCGGATTTTATGCTCGCGTCGCCCGAATTTAAACCCTTTACTGTCTGATAAAATCACGAAATATGGCTCGCAGAATGACTGCTATTTTTACGATCATACGTTAGTCGAGTCTGCTGAAAATATAGGGGTCTCAAACAAGTTATCATAGCCGTTACATAACATTTATATTGGTTTAACAACTAAGTAATTGGGGATTTTTTTAATAAAATTAAAAACAATTTTTTCATGAAACGAATAACTTTAGTTAGTAATGTATTGTCCATTTTTAACAATGATCTTTTCCCATCTTACAGGCAACATCATCATTCATTCATTCATTATCAATTTTTTGTAAAGATGGATTCCATGTTCATAAAAGTTCTGGTTTTTATCGGCGAAAAACTGAATCGAGTGTGATTTGATATCATCATTATTGAAATTTTTACCATTGAAGAAGTTTTGCAAGGACGAAAGAAATGATAATCTGACGGTGCAAGGTCAGGACTATGGTGGATGTGGCAACACATCCCAACCAAGCTCCAATAATTTTTGCTGAGTGGCCAAAGATGTGGCCTTGCATTGTCATGGTGGAACACAATACCTTTACGATTTATAAATTTTGGTCGCTTTTCTTCAATTGCATTATACAGTTTGGTTAGTCGTTAAATATACACATCTGAGTTAATGGTTTGGTTGCGTGGTAAAAAAAAACTACATGATCGATCGATTAAATGTTTTTTCTGAATGACGATTTAAGTATTATCAGACAACAATATATAAATGGGTTTGACGTTTCGAATATGTACAAATACGTAACAATTCAATTAAAGCTACATGCCAGTGCAATTACATAGTTGCCAAACCAATATTTAGTACTGTTTTATAAGTAATCGTGGAAATTATTAAAATTATAAATTCACATAGAGTCGAGCGTTCGAGAGTTTCTAGCTCCTTTGT